GGGCGCGCGAATGCGGCGGCGGCGGCGGCGCGGCGCGTGAAGGGGCCGCGTCTGGCCGAGGAGGGCGCCGCCAACATGTCGGATACCAAGGTAAAAGTTGCCGTCCGGGTCCGGCCCATGAACCGACGAGGTGAGCCGCTTTCCATGCTCCTTTTTCATTTCTGCCCGGGCCGAGGGCGGGGGGCAACTTTGCAAACTGCGGGGCGGCGGGAGCCGGGGACACCGGGATGGCACTGGGGTAGCCCGGGCTGGCCCCGGGTGGAGGCGGCGCCCTGCTCGGCCGCCTCCCCGGGACCGAGCGGCGCGCGCCGGCCGTGGCCGCGGATGCTGCACTTTGCAACGTCGCCCTGCCCCTGTGCTTTCAGAACTGGAACTGAACACCAAGTGCGTGGTGGAGATGGAAGGGAACCAGACGGTCCTGCACCCCCCTCCTTCCAACACCAAGCAAGGAGAAAGGTAAATCCCACCCCGCCGGCTCCTGCCAAGTTTGAGCCTGGAAAGCCCGAGTGCGCTCTCCTATTGTTAGGGAGGGTGGCTTCAAGTTTGTCTCACGCTCGTGTGGGAAGCGGTTGCGAGTCCAGGGTCCTCTCCTTCCTCTGGGTCCCTCCGTTCTTGTCCCCTCCCATCCAGGCTGGTGTCCATCAGGCAGGACACCCTGGTCAGAGTCAGCACGCCGGGGGCGTCTAGGCTCCCAGAGCTTGTGGGGACCGGATGGAGCCCTGGAGGTGTCTAGTCAAAGGCCACATTTTACAGATGTGAAAACTAATGTTTGAAGCAGGCAAATGACCAATCCAAGGCCTCATGGATGGAACCCAGCTTTCACTGGAGCTTCCTTTGGCAGAACTGTGTGTGAAATGGGGGCTGGGAGCAGATAAAGCAAAACACCCCTGCAGGAGGATGGATCGTTTAAAATCTTGTTAGTGCTGTTGAGTTGAGAGGATGCCTGAATTTATATGCGGGAATTTTGATTTTCAAGGAAACAGAGCCCTAATCTGGAGTTGTGTAGACACAGGAGGGGGGCGGTCTTAAAAGGTGGCTGCATTTCCTAGATGGAAATGTATTTGCATTTGAAAAGTGGTAACTCTGTGATCCGAATTAATTCTGCTGCGAAGTGCCTTTAAATAATTTGAATATTTGGCATTTTTCTGGTAAGCCCCTGAGAAGAAATCGGTTTGAATTCATTCAATATGGCACTGTAGGAGCCTGTAAAAAATAGATTTGAAAAACAGAGTTTTTGCAGAATTCTGTTCGGAAATGATTGTTAGTTTGTCTCTAAAAGTCACCTGTTGATTGAGGAGCTCCAGGATGTGTGATTTTTGCTCTTCAGAGGGTTTCAGTGAAGACAGACTGTAAGGCAGGGTTTGTTACTTGATTGCTGAGGGAGGCAGCTGCTCTTTATAAACATGCTGTGTTTAGGCACAGCCTTGATAGAGTTGGGGGAAGAAACTATGAGGCTACTGTAAGATTGGGGTTTCTTTGCTTTGGGGGTTGAGCCGGCCAAGTTCTATACACTTTGCAAACTTCCTCCTATTTCTAGCAGATTCTTACAATGACATTAGATGGCTGTTATATTTAAAATGTGTCAAATGCCTTTATAGTAATGGATTTATCCTTGGACAGTATTTTTAGATGCATTTAAATATTTTACAGTATTTTTAGATGTATGTATAATAGTGTAGCTAGGATATTTCATGATGATAAGAAAACTTGTTGAATACATTAAAATATTTACAGATTGAATTAGATGCCTGTATCTCGAAAGCTTCTTTTGTTTTTTTTCTTTCGAAACTGGATCTTGCTATATTCAGAAGAAAATGTCATTGAGTCAGAGTCTTCAAGGCAGTCTGGGAAACAGACTGTTTTAATGGGAGTTGCATAGTTGATACCACTGTTTCTCCTCATGGTTTGGCACCTGCTTGGCACTCTTCCGTTTCTTTCTTTAACTATGTATTTCTACGTTTGTGTGTGTGTGTGTGTGTGTGTGTGTGTGTGTGTGTGTGTGTATGTATACATATATATGTGCCTGCATGTGCACATTCATTCATTCATTCTGGGGTGCTAGGGGTGGAACCCAGAGCCTTAGCCATGCTGGGCAAGTTCTTCACCACTGAGCAGCACCTGTAGCCTTTCCAGCCACTCTTAAACCCTAAGGAATACTACTGTTCATGCACAGAAACAGGTTTAATTTGTGGAGTTTGAAGAAAATTTTAACTGGACAGTTGGTTGCACACGCTAAAATATCAGTTGGCCGTTCTTAGGGTCACCATATTAGTTCCTTATCGGGATCCTTGTGGGGTAACTTGGGGATTTATCCATTGGCTTGCTGATTGGGGTCGACCCTTACCTGGAGCTGTAAGAATTGCGTTGAAAAGTGGGTGCTGTCTTGTTCTAGGCTGACAGAGCCTTTATGTGGTGGCTGGGCCCTCTTGGAGGGAATCAGCTCATGGACTGGTCATTCAGTCTCTAGAACTGAGGCTAACCAACGCAGAGGTGCCACTTGTAGGTTAAGATGAGTGTCTTTGCAAAGATGAAGACGCCAAGTGCATTTTGATGTCGGTTCTGCAGCTTGGTTTCATATTTCTTTAAGGAACGTCCCCTTAAAGCAACAGTGCATTTAAAAATAGAAACAATTCCTTCCTTGGGCTGTGGCTTGGTGATCACAACTGTGCTCTATGGTACATTTGTAATCCATTTCTGTCGTTTGTTTTCGGATGGTGCTCCGGGCCCGACAAGGCTGAGTGAGTAGAATACTGAGAATGTAACTGACTTTTGTCCTCGCAAGTCCCGGGTTTGAAATGTAAGAGGTCCTTAAATAGAAACCGGGAAATTTTGGTCAGATTGAGAACTAGTGAGTGCTTTTCTGAATGTTGCAAGATTACCCATGCATACATCATGAGTAGAAACTCAGAGTTACTGGGTAAAAGCATTCAGTTTTACAAGAAAGAGTTCTTTGACTTCTAGGAAAACAAGTAAGTTTCGCTTCATGGCTTTCTTTTTTTTTTTTTTTTTAT